TCCAAGCCGACCGGCGGCTAATGTTTTGAATGTTGTTCAGGATTATCATCTGGGTAACATTTGTCAAGATCAAAGCATCATTGGTGATGCCGTCGTTGTTCCTGGGTACCGTTAAAAGAAGGATTCTGGCTTAAAAAAGTACAAATTTCATTTTTTAAAATTGACCCTGATATGACCATGAAATGACCTTGAAACGTGATCACAAGGTCAACATTAAAAAGGTAATCAGATAGCCTTGACCTTGCGACCGCCCGCAATTTTCCAGAGTCCGCAGAATAATTATAAAAGGACGAAATTAATTCCAGAAGGATACGCAAATTATAACAACAGCACAAACAACCACAGTAGCGGCGAGGAAGGCTTTTCCTCAGGAAATCCGCCAAATAGCTCCGAAGGACGAAGGCGAGACCACGGAACGGATAACGAATCCGGAAGACCACCAGAAGACCGCATAAAAGTTATTAAATAACGCGGAATTAACTTATTTTATTATTTTATTGTTTACGCTAGTTTAGCAGTTTTATTAGTCATTTACGTTTGAGAAAGATCAAGCTGCACACTAGCTGTGATATCATAAAAGAAACACAATTTCATAATTATATTTTATTATTTTATTATTTGCAAGACTAAAAAGTCAATACACACTGATCATACATAATTAATTAAATATCATAATAAACAGTTTATATCTTCTATACAATTATTTGATAAAAGTTCAACCTACCTGAATATCCTATGGAATAAAGAGACCAAAGGCGATCCAATCCGATCCAGTGTGATAACCTAAAAAATAAAAGAGAAGTTAGAAATAAAAAGACAGCATGTTAAACTAGAGATAAAATTAATGATACAAAAAATACTTACCCACAAAAGTACGCTGAGATGGATTTGGAGACCCTGAAAAAAATAAAAATTATTAACAGACGCTAAAAAGCGATTTATTTAAGTTCAAGGTTAGTAAAACCACGTTATATAACTATTTTGTTACAAAGGCACGTAAGCCGAATTATTCCACTCATTTTACAATTATTTCAAGCACCTAGAATTAATTAGAACATCGCACATAAGTTAGAAAGAGATAACACATTATTTGCAGTAAAACTCAAAATTCTGGTTAAAAAACTATTTAATTAATTATTCCATACTATTCCTTAATTATTTACAGTCAGATAAAATTATTTAGAGTCAAAATTAATTATTTAAAATATTTACAAAAGGATGTTCTAGTTAGAGCAGGATAGCATTAAGGTACGCGTAAAGCGATATAATGGACACAAAACTTCATATGCGAGATTATTTTAGTTAGTATATCTTACACAAAGTATTTTGGAATTATTTAGGGCAAAACTAGCCATTTCTAAATTAATTAATAGTATTTGGAATTATTTGGAAGCACTTAAGCACTATTCACAACGCCTATGAATTATTTAAGGTGTAGCCACACTCGCATATAAGAATTTGGTTAATTTCTCATTATTTTGAATTATTTCGGCAAAAAGATTAATTATTTGACAAAAGACTAATTATTTAGGGCCACAGTGAATTATTTGAGAATTGTTTAACGATAAAAGAATTATTTCTAACACCTGATTGGTCCCGTGAGTGGAGAGCCTTGTCGTGGCACGGGAGCTCACCCGGGATCCTCTAAGAGGGTCCCGGATGCCAATACTCCACAGTCCCTCGTTAAATAGAGGGACTCTGTACGCTAGGGTCCGGCGTCCCAAGGACCCTCCGTACTCTTTGGAGTGCGGAGGGTCTGGAGGAACCATCCGTAACAGGATGAGGAATCATTACGCCGGTAGGAGAAGACAACTCTGACTTCAAATCCCGGTGATCTAACTCGGCACCGTTAGAGGGGGGTCTGCTCCCTTCCGAGCGCGGAGTGATGATCGTCCACCACGGCCCTCGGGCCCGCGTGGGGCCCTCCCCTTCCCCCCTGGGGGATGGGGTGGTTCCCTCGCGGTACCGGGGACTGGAGCGACGACGCAGCAACATCTCTGCAGGCGGGCTCTGTCTTCGGACATTGAGCCCATGCCACTGGGGAAGCGAATGCCTGGTGGGGTATTAACCCCATTGCACCCAGGCATTCACCACCAGGTTTGCTCCAGTGGGCGGTCGTTCTTCATGAACTATCGCCCATTGCACACTGGGCGTCACTGGTGGAGGGGGGGACCTGAGGGTCAGCCTGAGAGCAGGCAAACTGGAAGCGAGGAATAACAAAACTCGCAATAGGCGAAGTAGCGGTGGAGGCCTCTCCGGATACTCGTGGCGCGCTCGCGTCGGGGCGCCCGTCCGTCTTGAGAGAGACGGCGCGGGTGGCCCGGCGGGGATGCGTCGGACCCTTCTCGTCCCCCC